CGGGGAAGTTGGCCCCCGCAGACGTTACACGCAGAAAACTTCGTATTAGAAACTCCAAACTGTGAGTTCGATTTCACAGCATAGGCGATCTAATGGCCCTTCCCCATCAGGCGTGTTCAAGCTTAGGCGAAGCACAAAGTTATCCTCAAACCTCGCGACTGAGGATTCCTTGGTACAGGTCCCACCGCGGACATCGACGTAAGGAATACCACTACCGTACAATGGTCGTGGTCGAAGGAGGAGAGGTGAAATTTTGGAGTTTTCGAGGCCGGAAGAAACGGTCTACATAAGGAGAATACACTGCCCGCCACGTGCCCCGCACGATCCTGTGAGGCATCATCGCTCCTTCTTTTCTTAGATGTACCAAAATATCCGAGATTCAGGAACTCTACTGATCAGCAATGGCAGCCTTATCCCATAGCTTACAACTATCAGGGCTCCGATCCCTCCCTGTTAATGACTCAGAAATGTTCCAGAGAGACGTAGGCATCAATGTCGTTAGCGAAACTTCAGATGCGCATGCTCCGTGTGATAGCTTCAGGCGTTCGAGGTCGACAATTTAATGCGTCGACTCGGTGAGCAGGTGACCGTTAGAGAGACAAAATTCTCACCGAATGAAGTCTTGCGCGGGTACACTGCAGATTCTCAATGCTTATCCGCCTCTTGTGCCAGATGATTAGGGGGCGAGAGTATTCTCATGGGGATGAGAAATTTTCCGTGCAACGACTACTCTCGGGAGTTTATCTTCCTGAATACACATCAGTCATCGGAGGCGTTTACTGTATGGCATAGTGAACCTGGTAGGAAGGTACTTCATCGAAATCGTCTCCGCAGAGCCGCGGGAATTCTCCTCGCCCCCTCAGCTTGCCTGTGGCCCGATTGTGAATAATATGAGTGGTGACAGCCGAATCACCAAAGAAGCCTCGGATAGGTCCAATTGGATCTTCCGTTGTCCCAATTCCGAATCAGCATTAGAGCCCTCGTCTCGCTCGGATTCTGACTTGAGCAGCAGAGGCACGAGAAAGAGATCACACAGGTTCCGAGAAAACCGCATGGCGCCCCTATGGCCCCGTGGGGCAGGTAGATATGAGCGAAAATAGAAAATAATCATTTCAGTCGCTAGCTTTCCGTCACCATGAGGACTCCACGCTGTAGATTCACTGGGGACTGAACGAGGGACATCATGCGATCCGCACCAGAACCGACCTCAGAGCGGATCAGAACTCATCACTTGTCAGACATATTTTCAGTGAAAGGCGACACTGATCTGAAATTAGAAGGAGCTCCGATCCAGTGAATGGGTGGGAGAGGATCTGACGAGCTGTGCTCCAGAAGCCTCTGTCAGCGAGCTCACCGACTGGTGCTGAAGTTTCCCCTGTCCGAGCGTGTCACCTCTGCTTAGGAACAGTGCTGCGATGAACGGCACGACGAAACTTCCGAAGCCGTAAGCGAGCTGATATAGTTGTAATTGGACAGCAGGCTCACGGTCGAATTTGAGGGGAATCGGTGATACCGCGGGCCAACTCGTGGGGAGGCGAGGTGATCTTCGCAAAAACTTAGCCCCCTCGTATCTACCCCTTAGATTCCGGCGAGTTCGAGCAGCGTGGGGCTCAGAAAACCGGATCCGAGACCCTGTCGGGAAGGGAACACTTGATACCGGAGCTCACAAAATTAATGAATTCATCACCATCGAGAGCGGCGCTTTCAATGTCGCAAATATGCACCGCTGATCCTCTCAGGGACAATCGAGACTGAATCGGGAAGAATATTAGGAAAACTTGAGAGCTCATGCATACAGAGGTCAAACTGCGGAGAGCGCGGACCACGCTGTGTCCATGGGCTGCTCTGCTCGGAGACAGCATGATCCTGATAATTCATTCTCTTCCGATGGCGTTCCCGAAAGATGTTGAATTTCCACACAGATGAAGTCGCAGGCGAGCAACGAACATGATAAGGGCGAATCCGAGAATGCTTCGAATGCTGAGAGCGGGGTGAGAGTTTTCGAATGGGGGTCGGGCTCTTGAGCAGAAAAGAGCACTCCCCACTGTGGAAAAAGTCTCTCCGGATCAGCCGCACCGAAGAAGGTCGCATTCGTACACATTCGCGTGTCTTTCCGGAACAGCTGCGACTTGATCATCACGCTTCCCAATTCTCGTGGCGGGCCAGCGACGCAAAAAATAACGCCAATCGATTGGTGCAATCAATCACTCACCCGCGAGGCGTGTATGTCTTCGCGCCTCGAGCAACAATGCGGCCGGAAATCCCAGAGCGCCTCTCTGTTTTAGGCACTATTCGTGACTCGCGAGCTTCTGGACCTTCTCCTTTGCGGGCTCACAAAGCGGCGGTCGGAGGAGCGCTTCTTGTATTCCAAAAGCAGTGTGGGATTCATATCTCGCTCAAAGTGCTCGCTCCGTATTTGATTGCATTCTTCGGTAGCTATATCGAGTCGACGAGTCAGGGGTCAGTGGCAGCGGAGAAGACTCAATATCGATGTTCAATTGAAGCCCCGGGACTTCGATGGGAGATCCCGTCCAATAATCTGCTAAGGAAGAAGTGAACTATCCCCAAAGAATCCATGATGGGATTAAGTTACACTGATTCGATCTTCCCGCGGGTAAGTCCTCTGGATAATTTCACTTCTGACGGCGCGGCGGTTGATCATATAATTCACGCGTCGCCTCAAGAGCTCTGACACTGCTCTGTCGAGCTATCGAAGTATGGGGCGAGTCCAAAGAGAACACCGGTAATCCAAAGTTTAGAACCGTGTTGGTATCAAAGAAAATGTGCCGGCCAACCAGAAAAACGGCTGCAGGAAATACGCTTTTTGCCTTCTTGTTCGCATGCTGACATCATGGACGTAACGGTTATCTAGAGCTAGAGAGTCCAATAAAGTGAGCGTGGACGATGTCCAACCCTTCAAACTGTGCAGTGCTTATGGGAGCGCGATATCGAACTCATCAGGATGTCGGCGCCAATTGTTATAGGCAGTTGCTCAGTGGTTTCTCGGGACATGATCATCGAGCTCAGCGGGAGAAAGTCACAGTAAGTACGTTTAAAGTGACGGAGTTATGACCGAGCAATATTTTACTGCATGGCGAGCGCAATAAATTAGAGAAAGAATATTTTGTTATATTCCGGGTTTCCCGATGCTTCTTACAAGGGGGAATGAACTTCCCTCTGGCTCGAAGAATCCCGGCGCTCCAGCTCATTGGCCGCCGATCGTGATCATTCACCACAGAGTTTCGGAATCGTCAACTGAGCCGGCGGCGGATATCATCTTACGAGTTGCTGTTGGAGCGCGGGAATTCTACTTAACCGCTTCCTCTGCGGACAACAGGCCGACGTCTCAGAATAAATCTCGTTTCCTAAGCATGCATCTTTCTGCGGTCGGCAAGGTTCCGCGGGTGAACATCTACGGAAAGACATCCTCGCTATCCGAGCGTCTGACCCAAGCTTGTTGATAGACAGGAAGGTCTGAATCATTGTGCGAGTAGGATTTCGGCTTCCGTAATTCGCCTTCGCGGAAACGCATCAACGGGGACAGCCTGAGGATCTCATCCACAACTGATGGGAGGTCTCAGCCACGAGCGCGATTCAACACAGGGATGATGTCCTTGGATTTTCTCGAGGAAGTGTGCCGAGCGTTCCATACGGGACATGGGGCATTCCACCAGGCCCAGGCAGTGTCATATTCCCTTGAAAGAAGAGACTAGAAGGATTTGAACCAAACACGCGGCTTGCGATTTGCTGTATGAGTCCTTCAATCGCGTCTCAGCTTCTTTTTTCTTCTTCTATAATTCTCTTCGCCTGAGTGACTCACTGCCAAGTGCTGGAATGAAGGGATTGCCTGCATCGGGGTTTGCTCAGCGGAAGACTGCCGACCCATACTTGGGCATATATAAGACTAGAATCGCACGGCGAGGGTCGGATCCTCCGAACGATTCGCTGGTGCTACGTGGGTTCCCTGCGGGGACACCCGACTCTCATCGAACGGCCGAGACGCTCACGGCAGATCTGCTCCATCAAAGACGGGAATGTGTCTGTCGATGAGTCGGCAGTTCCGGCTCATCGACTTCAGAGAGCTTCGAGGACATTCCTCGTGCATTAGTACGAAACAGGTCGCGACCCAACGAGGGGACCTGATCGGGAGTCCTGCGCTGATCAAATCGAATCGCGATTTCGAACTTGAAAAAGGTATTCCATTTCGTGGTTACTTAACAGGCCATGCTTGATCAGAGGGAAATCCCGCGGAGGGTGACTGAATAAGACGCGAAGCTCCGTCTACCTTGTTCAGCACGTCGGTTCCGTCGGGGTCGAAAGTCGCTGTTTGGGCTGCAGGAGCCAGAAGGATAGACGATCACCCGAGGTTTTTCAAGATTCGTGCGCGGGGGACAGGAACCCGCTTGACCGTTCATTCGAGACACAGTGACCAATGCGAGCCGCTTCGACCTTCCGGCGATGCGCCAAGACTCTCTGAGATCTCGCGGATTGGGGAGAGGAACGGCGGAAGACTTGAGGGATCGCCACGAGGCGATGCGATCGAGGGAATCCCAGAGGGGATGGATGTACTGATCGCCTACTCCTCGCTTCCCACCCCCGGGGAATGGATCCGAATCGTTCAAGCTGCTCCTGAATTTCTCGAATCCCTGACGCCCTGACGGATTTCAGCTGGTATAGCGGCAAAAGTCTAATTTCCCAGAAGCATGCACCTCCGCGAGCAGTCTCTCAGGCTAATCGATTCGGGGTCTATTCCGGAAGAGAGGGGCGAATCGAGATTGTTACCGAGAATGATAATAGATCGAAGGATAGGTGATTCCTCATCCCGATGATCCGGGAACAAAGAGGTTCCCACCAATCCGTGAGTGTTCGAATGTACCAACATAGCTCCGGATCACTGTGACGTCGGGATTCCATCTGTGAGATCTCAGAGGAGATGGAACAATATGACGGAACGAGACGAGACTCGGCTGATATCTTTATTTCGACGACACTTTCTCCCTGTTCCTCACCACGAATAGCATTGCTGCGAAGTTTAAGCAGAGTAACACTGACAATGCCGCTGAAACATACGGAAGTATCATCGGATTGGAGTTGATCCATGGTGCAGCGATGAAAGCAGGGGACGAGATGGCCACGCACACCCCAAACTGGAAGCAACGGAGAACAGTGAAATTCTCTTCTCCAGGACACTCAATGTCGTCCAACTATATTATTTTTACTCAAACCATTGTTGCTGCCATGTGCCAATGCTTCAAAGTTATGTATTGGCACGTCCAGGTGATACTGGTACCGAAAAGCGCGCTGAGACCAAGCCCAAGTCCTGCATTGGCGAGCCACACCACAAAAGGTGCCTTCAGTACGAACAATACAAAGATCACCGATGATAACAGAGTTGAAGTCAGACAGGACTGCAAACGGATAGGCAGTTTGGAAATTAATCTGAGCAGAGGGTACGGTTGGCCAGCCCTTGCTGAGCGAGCTTACCATCATGATGAATGTCATAGAGAGCTTGTACCCGATCACGGCGAGGATTCTGCCCGCGAAGAAAGCCGCACGGAATACTCCCCCGAGGAAAGCTCCATCGGATTTCGTCAAATGCAGGTCCGATTCAACGACGAAAGACGTGATCATCCCTAAGTAAATTCCAGTGTCTTGGTCAGACAATATTCTCCGGCGAGTTTCTTCGGGAGAATCTCCGGAGCGTGAGATCCGAAGATAGGCATCATTAGTTCCAGAGAGACTGCAAACTCACCCGTGAACGTCATCTCTAAGCTCGTGCAGAGCAATATTATCAGCATCATGAGCATCACCAGTGATATTTCGACGGCTTTGGATCCCTTCTCAGGTTCACTCGTTCCTTCCGCGGGAGATTCGGCGTTAGGCTTGGCGCCTTCCTTCGCAGGCAGAGGCGCCACGGCAGAAAATACGCCTTGAGAAACGCCCAGGACGACGCAAAACGCGCCCACGCCGGCATATGGAAGATAAATCCGGGAAGCCTGGTGAACGAGTCGAGTGGATCTTCGGAGATTGAATTTTCCCGCGAAACCAAGTGGATTCGATTGACGGTATGAACTCCTCAGTGAAACATTTCGGAAAAACCATGGACGCTAGCTCTCCTCGACAGGCATGCGCACTCACTGCAGCTGGCTGGAGTTTCCCGGAGATGAGCGGGCTGCTTTCGCTCAGGAACGGCTCCGAGATGAAGGGAATGATGAAAACTGCCGAGCCATAACCCAGCATGTAGAGCTGCAGAGCGAAGGTGGGGTCCTTCCAAAGGTTCGCAAGAGCTACGTAGGTTCCTGTTAGCAAGGTAAGAGATCTTAGCTTCTACAAGGGAGAGACTTCGAGAGATGTAGAGAATATACCCAGCAGAGCTCGGAATCTCCCATGGATAGCATCATTCGGACTCACCAGCTTCGAAAAGCACCAGCGTGATCCCATTGGCGACGGATACTGCATGCGCGATCCAGAGATTTCCACAGACAGGATACAGAGCAGTAGAGAGGCCCTCAAAAATCAGAGAGGCGATCAGGACGGACCTCGAGTTTCGGTCATTCACGGCGAAACTTTCTGCGGATTCATCAGCAGTCGAAACCGCAATAAGTTCGTTGAAATGTCCTAAAAGCTCGCGCGCGATATTTTACCACAATTCAGCATTTCTCTGCTACATCCTGACAACCTAGGATTGAGCCGATTAGATTTCCTACTGATCGTGATGTGAAGAGATGTGAAACTTCGTCGATCTCCACATTGTAGATCTCAGCGAGGTCAAGCAGAGTGGGGCCAATGATCGCTGATACGAGACCCTGAAAAGGAAAAGCCGGAACGCTCAACATTGGGGATGGAGGAGGGAGGATCGGAGCAAGGGATAATAAACGGGGTCTGCTGCATACCAACGCGAAATTCCCGAGAATGAAGAGTAACGTATAGATCTCTTTCGTTCGCCTGGTTGTCACCATGATATCCGGATCTGCCGATCAGAACGGTGGATGTCGTGAGTGACTCCGACTGGAGATTTCCGGCAACATTCACGAGCCGTTCCTGGTGATCTGTAAATACACTCGATTTCAGACGCGACCTGCTGCTCTACATCAGAGGCTTCCTGGGACAGAAGTTTCCGATGCAGCAGTGGATAATTCATTCCATCAGATGGTCCTGTACCGTTCCGAATCCTACCACGCTGCACATCATGATCGCAGACCGTTTGTGATTCCTAGAGAGACTGCGCAGATCACACTTGTGAACTCAGACGCAAATTCGCGTACTCGAACGACACACTTCGGTCGCTTCTGAGCGAGAAACTGAATGAGAGACTTCTGTCTAGGCGGCTGGGGAGTATCCTCCGGGAAGAATCTCGCTGCACTCTCCGTGTCTGCGAGGCAGCGCCGAGAACCAAAGGCATCATCGCGGCCTTCTCATCGAGTGTTGCTCTCGAGTGACTACTATGAGTGTTCTTTTCGATAACCCGATGAGACTTGGATGCCGCACAATCCGAGAGGGAATCACAATTGAAGTAACCGAATCCGAATGCGATTCCGGGAATTCCCTAGGGAGAGCCATCGTGTCACATTTATCGCTGCGGCAACCTCTTGCTCGTTTCCAAACAATTGAGCCTGTCAGTAAGCAATATCAGAGAACAGCTGGACGGTTCCTGATAATGATATCCCGGCTATGGATTGGATGTACCCAAATAGGCTCGTTGAGCAGCTTAGAGTCACTCGCCGTATGACCGCACAGTAGGATATCGAAGCGAAGGAATGCCCTGCTCCGCAATTTTCCCAATATCAGACGAGGAGGGCGATGCTCAGATAGCTCCAGAGCGGAGGCTCCCTCATCAACGGAGGATAAATTCCACACAAATGTATCGCCTGGTCAAAGACTTTGTCTGATCGAATGCACATGACTCTAGTAGCGCTTCAGCAAAGCTTCACTCGACTCATGAGCTCATAACTTTATCGTCTGGTATTGCTTTACGTTCGCGAGAGAAGGGTTCGGCATGATATCGTCAGTGAGGGGGTCGGTATGCCGAGTGGTGGCCATCCGAATCAATATTGGACACTCGAGAAATAGCTCATCTTCTATGTTCGACGGACCCGCGAGAATGCGGCCCAAGGCGGCTGGATGGAAGTGAGGCGGCTCTCAGCAGGGAAGACCGAGTCAACTCACCATTAGTATGTAACATCTAGAGACCTGCTCTCACCAACAGAGGCATCGCTCGGTGGGAGGGGAAGGGAAGCCGGACCTTCTACCTCGGGCGCAGACCTCGGGGTGCGCCATTTTCGAAGATTTCTTCCGCGGACCCACGGAATCCACGGGGCATCAGGGCGTAATTTCCGATGGATTTCTGCGTAGGAGGTCGGATTTTCGGGGAAACTCGCAACCGAGAGTCGAGTTCGAATGAATAATCAGCATTTATCATGCCAGGGCAGAAAACTGGATTTTGGACCCGATATGTTTGAAATTTCTTCGAATTACAATAGTTCCTGACAATACCAGCCGACATTTTGGGCCTACGAGCGGCAAATCCATCGCTCTGGATATTATTCAAGTTTTCACAGCGATTCTCTAGCGCACCATGGAGAATACGGAGGAGAACAGCGAGGAGCGCAGTGGTCAGTCTTTCCCCGCTTACAGTTCCTACGCAGGAGAACGATTTGATGATGAGACGGTCACGCAGAAAAAAATATCCTTCCTTGCTCACTAGGGAGTCTAAATGGTAATCATGACAAAAATGATCTGGATAGCGGAATGGAAACTCCAATCTAACGTTACCACTTGCGACTTGCTCTGTGGGTCCTCTGCTATGCGACTGTTTTGCATAATCTCCTGTTGCAGTCGGATACATACTCCCGCCATGTTTGCAAACTGTGCGAATATGTCTACCTTGAAGTCCGGAGAACTCAGATTTTACAGCGGCGGGAGCGTACTATCGGTCAGTCAAGTCCCTCGTCAGCGATTCTTGCTCGCGAGATCGGAACTCGTTTAGTCTACGATTTCAATATCCTCTATCCGTGACTAATGATTCAGCTCGAACTTATCAGATGAAAAGAAAAACCTACGATAGGGACGATGATTCCCAGACGATGCTCCATCTCGCGAAACTGCGAGCCAACATCGCAGTGAGCACACAGAGTGTACAGGGATACAGAAACGGAGTTCACTATGTTGAAAAAAGCATTCCCGAGCAGCCTGAGCGGAGGCCCTTGTCATCCGAAATACAGGACCACTGACTTGACGAGGCAGCTGGCTTCCTAAATGCACAATCACGGCCTTGAACGCGTGTCGACTACATCCCGCGGAGGTCGACGCGTGGAGATGCGTTCCTCTCGCAATAATCACTCGATCGCACTTCTCTCGCTAATTCGTCAGGTCTGCGTTTACACCCCGAACAAGATGAATAGATTTTCAACGAGATATAGCCGAAGCTGGGAAACTCCTCTAATTCACTGCGTCAACTTCCTTATGTGCCCTCGCCGAGGGAACTGAGATTCTCACTCAGCACCGTGGACTTTCTCGAGGGTATTTCCCTACGGATCACTCTCCATCAGAAGAGGAGCTCTGACGGAATCCCCTCCTGCATCTGCGATACGCAGATTGGTGTGAACCATTGAAGATTGTGTTTGCATGGCTTGAGTCGCTCGGAACCCATATTTACCTGTTACGTGAAGTTCCAGAGAGAGATAGATTGTCAGCTTCAGACGACAAACTACGATTGCTAGGAGCACGGCCGGAGCGCAGAACGGGATGCAATCGCGTGGATAGCTCCGATATCATAGCTCCCTCGCCCTCCGTCCCGTCTGGCGTACGGCTTGGACTCATAACAGGCGAGAAGTAGCAAAAGGTACTATTTAATGGTATCTATCGGATCAAGAGCTCGGTCCTTCGGTAGTGCCCGACGGTATGAAGAGGAAGACAGACTCTGTTCCGGAGCTGCCGCGATATTTGCGCTCCTCCCCTTCCGAGATCAAGCGGTCAGTCGTGACCTGTCCCTCGCAAAACAGAGCATGATCGCGAACATCACGCACAGAACCACCGACAGAGAGACTGTGACGTACGGTAGCACCATCGGATAGGTTTCGATCCATGGTGCTATGAGAAAAGCGGGAGAAGTATTGCCCAGGCTCAGGGCGAGCTGAAATCGGAGGAATTTCTCACCAACAAAATAACGGCTTCGGGGGTCGCCCCGACTCCCGGCTCTAGAGTAATGCAGACGATGAACACCGACGAGCCGCTCTCGGAAGAAATCTCGCTCATCTCACCGTTGTAGCGGCCATGTGCCAGTGTTTCAAAGCTACATATTGGCAAGTCCAGATTAAACTGGTGCCGAAGAGTGCGCTCATTCCCAAGCCGAGTCCAGCGGTAGCGAGCCAAGTTGCAGGGGCAACACCATGACAAGGGACGAGAAGACGGCCGATGAAAGCATGACGCAAAAACAGACTCAGCTGAAAACAAGTGATGGGTGGAGCAATACTTTAGGGCGTATGGAAGGTGTCGGACCCGAGACGAACTTACCACCATGATTTTGGTCGCCGAGAACCTGTAGCCAACGACGAGGAGGACTCGACCCACGAAGAAAGCCGATCGGTAAACTCCCCCAAGATAGGCACCCTGTGATTTTCCCCAGTGCAGGTCCGAGAGGACCACAAACGGAGTGATCAATGCCTAGAAGAATTTGCTTCGTGAAATGCCACCCGAAGAATCCCGAAATACGTCCGAATCTGACGTCAGCTCAATTTATTCGGCAACAATTCATGTTGTCGGTTCCCCTCTCATCCGCGGTTGGCCGCGAATGAGCTGTCAGCTATGGATGCGAGGGGGACCGACGAATCTTCCACCCACCCGTGAAGGCCGTAGCCAGACTGTCGGAGAACACGAGGAACAGCGTCAGGAGAGAGATCACGGAGATTTCGAAAATCCCGTGACGCTTTTTCTGATTCTGGGTCTCTCCTGGAACGCCTTCATTTTCGGGCTTCGCTCCAGCCTTCGTTTCCAATTGCATCGACGTCACGAGAGACAGGATGGCTAAACCAATACCGACTGAAATACTCAGTAAGCCAACTCCAACATAGGGAATGTAGATTCGCGAGACCTAAAAATGGAGACGGTTAGGGTTTCCGAACGATGGCATCGCGACAATTCCATCCGGACAATGATTACTCGAATCTCTCCCTTCCTCTGAATGAGCCTCCAGGATGGGTCATGGCAGCAAGCTCAGGCCAAATCGTTCGACTGCTCACACTCGTCGCACTGCGCTGGAGCTTCCCGTGTTCAATGACGTCGCTCGCGCTGAGGAACGGCTCAGCGATGAAGGAAATTATGAAAGTTGCCAAGCCGTGTCCAAGCTGATGAATACGCAGACCGAGAGCAGGCTTTTCCCACAGATTTGACTAATGCCACATAAGAGCCTGCAGAGGGACATTCGGGGGCCTGAGTCCGATGGTTACGCAGCTGAGGTTTCCATTGAGAAATTCGCATAAGTTTTCTTCAGAACTCACAAGCCTCGAAAGTGACCGCCGTCACTCCACTGACGACGAATGCGATATGAGCGAGCCAGAGAAATTTCGCGGAGGGGAATAACATCAGAGAGAGACCTTCGAGCACGATTGAGGCTATCAGAACTGGTTCAGAGCTGCGTAACAAACCGATAAGACCGGCTGGAAGGAAGCTGAGCATTAGAAAATCCGTGAATCGCTGCGCCGTGAGCACGGACCACAGAGCGGAGATTACCAAAGATCAGACTCCGACATGGAACCCTGACGGTGTCACGAATCGTCGACGTTTCGCAGATTGCTAATCATCAATTGAGCTTGGAAATCGGGGCCAGCGAGGTGCTTCTTTACATACTCTTGATGATGGACTTCTCGTGCCGTGGACTCCGGAGCAGATCTCTCGGATATCGAGACTCGCTTGGTAAGTTATTTGGAGCCTTTCTTGGAATCTTTACAGCTCAGCTCCTGCCGACACCGCGGGAGCGAGAACTTCGACACCGCTCTCAGTCAGAATCGAAAGAAGTATACCCTCCACTTATAGACCCCCTTAGGCCGGGACGTTTTGGAGAGCTTCGGTCGCTTCATACATGTAAGTACAGAGAGATCCCTACATGAATCACTCAGGTACCTAGATTCACAACCTAGAATGGATCCAAGGAAAATTCCGACGGAGCGGGACGTGTAAATCAGGGAAATTTCATCTGTGTGCACTCCGTAGATTTCCGCGAGATCGAGTAAGGTGGGGCCCAAGATCCCGCTCAGCAGACCCTGGAAGCAAACTTCTGCACCTGAGGACTTGAGCTACGAGAGTATGTTCGGGAGAAGGTAGAACGATGGGGGATATTCTTCCCTACAATACTGAACATTCGCCTTCCTGCCCGATGCACCTCCTGAGTATCGAGGAAGTTCAGGAAGGGAACAAATAAATTGGACGGGTTATTCTCATACCAAGCACAAATTGCCCAGAGCGAAGAGGAATATGTAAGCTGTTTTCGCTGTCCTCGTTGCCAACATGACTTCCCGAACTAATTTCCACGGCAGGATCTCAGCTTTATATGCACAACGAACATCACAGTCAAGCCTCACGGTCAAGCGACCTGCGCGAGCTTGAGAACTCTCGAGAGGGCTTGACGCTGGCAAACTCGCGAACAGATTCAATTCTTTCGAGCCTTAGAGGAGGATCGCTCCTGAAGCTCCAGCTAGAAGCATAGCACGCTGGAGCAGCTGCGATTTAATCTTCATGCATTCTCTCTGACGTCGAGTCAAATCAGCAGGGCAATTTGAACGAGCTGACCTAGCTCTGTTCCTGCTCTGTCTGACGTATTGTCTGAACAGCTCCGCAATGCTGACCGAATACATTATACGGATCTTAATTGGAGCGTAGGAGTTCCTTTCTGGGACGCCCTACCCTAGGGTTCCCTGATCGTCCATGTAAGGTTTTCTACGGCAAACACTGGAGTGCGTCTGAATCACCAATGTAGCTGATTACCGAGAATCGTGAGTTTCCTTGCGTAGAGGAGCGAAATCCTCTCATGCTCTCCCGGAGTGTTCAACGGAAGAATCTCTGTCGGGTCTGAAGCACTCATTTCGCACGAGTACTTAGGCAACGATTTTCAAGCAGCTCAGGTCCGATCCCGCCTCGTTTCTTCCTTCTCAAAAAGTCCCTGTGCATAGGGACGACTGAGCCAGCGCCGCCCGCTCACTACCTGCTTTCAAACACAAGAAATATTGTCGATCGGGTGACATGATGTGAGTAAACTTTTCAAGTGAAGGCTTGCGGGAAGGGGAACGCTGTTCGAATCTCGGGAGGGGAAAACGAAGGGTATTCGAAGTCGGGGAATGTCTCGACAACATTTCGGAGGGAATCTCGACAGATATCTCCGGACACGGGGAAAGAAGGCGCTGCTCAGCGGAAATACCCTCGGGAAAGTCCCAACTTTCCGAGTGCTCGAGTTCGCTGAAAGTCTTGCCCGGGACAAGCGCTCCGGCCTATGTCTCTCGTCTTTATTTTCAGTTATCAGTGAAGCGAAGAAACGGCTTGTCATCTGATGGACGAGCGTAGCGACACTCAACTCCTCAAGCTCTGCGGAGGATAGCCGCGGAGACCAGGAGCCCATCGTATGGAGACCCGTTCCTTTATCCGCTTTACGCTGGCAAGCCTGAAATCATGGAGCCCCGAGAGCATCCCTGATGGAGTAATTCAGAACAGAATTGAAAACTCATGTGTCTTTCTCGGACTCTTCATTCTAGCACCAGCTTTTTCTTATTTCTCACGACAAAGAGCATCGTCGCGAAGGTCATGCAGAGGAGCGCCGATAAGCCCAAGACTAAATACGCCAGAACCATGGGGTGGGTTTCGATCCAAGGCGCTACGAGAAACGCAGGAGCAAGATTCCCGATGCACATGGATAGCTGGAAGAAATATATTATGGTATCGAGATCAATCCAAAGCTTTCGAATCTCCAAGGCGAGACTTGTGGACCGTGCCGCGTTCCACTCACCATCGAGACGGCCATGTGCCAGTGTTTCAAGGCGACATATTGACAGGTCCAGACAATGCCGGTTCCAAAAAGCGCGCTGAGTCCTAAACCGATTCCAGCCGCTGAGATCCAGATCATCGCAGGTGATTCCAGCACGAAGAACGCGAAGATCGTTGATGACAGCATCAGGGTGGACAAGCTCATCTGTGAAAACCAGACAGCCGTCACACGTACGAATACCCAATTGAGGCCTCATGGCGTCCTAGAAACCTGACGGTGTCCTGCCCTCACTGCGCTGATGAGCTCGAGGACTCGGAATCGACATTTGGCGCATTAGAGAACCGCCGCAGAACGAAAACACTGGAATCGGAGAATCTCGGTGAACTCACCGTGAGCACTATCCATAACGGGATTCTGTGCGCGATAACCAGCAGGAGAAGACCTGCGAAGAACGTGGAGCGGATCACTCCCCCGAGATAAGCACCGGCGGATTTGTCGAGGTGGAGATCCGAATGGATCACGAAGGGCGTGATCATTCCTGGAAAGAGGATGTTGTATCGGCTCACTTCGGGCGGATGAATTCGAGAGGATGAATACAACGACGTATTCAACTCGTTCCGCTCCACCATTAGCGTTTCCACACGGAATCTCTTCGCAGACCCCCTGCAGAGGCTTCTCTAATCAAGTGTGAATTGAACTCACCAGTGAAACTCATAACGTTGCATTCGAACATCAAGAGGAAGACCGCGAGAAGGATTACCAAGAGGATTTCAGAGGCTTTCAATCGACTCTCCCTCGATTCTTCAGCGACAGTCTCCGGTACAGCGAAATTCTTCTCAATACTCTTTGACTTGCGGGACGAAGCCTCAGAACAGAAGAAGATCGTCATACCGATAGCCACGATGGCGCAGCAGGCGGCAATGCCTGCGTAGGGTATGGAGATGCGAGAGGCCTGTCAACAATAGATGGTCACCGTAAGGAACCGCGGACCAGTCTGAGGTGGATTGAGATGCTTCTGAATTTCCATAACTTTTTAGGAAATCTACCGAATCGGACGTTTTTTTTTCAAATTGGAGAGGAATGGATGGGCTTCCCAATGAACACGTCACTTCAGACATTTGAATACGTTTTGAGGGAGTTACACCCGTCTCAATTTTGCTCATTTTCGAAATTTCTAATGTCATTTTAAAACCCTCATAAGTCAAGACGAGGGTATGGCATGGGCTCGGTGTGGCCGGCATCTTGTAGCGCAGGAAAAGAGCTGTCGATTCGTATATTTACTTTGAAAAATCCGTTCACCTGGAGCTGGGAAAAAATTCGTCTACTATATGGAAGTAACGGTCAAAGAAATAGAGCCACCCCTCACAATAGCGCCGGAGGGCGAAAATTCGTCTCTCTGATACTTGCATCGGGAAGCTCGTCTTCTGTACAGCGGAATCGCTCTTTCATTTTCCGAAATCGGACCAGTTTTCGAGGAGTTATGCAAGGACCACCTTTCGCCTTCCCTTCCAGCTCTTTTATGGGGGGGGGGGGAGGTGGCTCTAGTTTTTTGACCGTTACTTCCAAATAGCAGACGGATTTTTCTCAGCTCCAGGTGAACGGATTTTCCTCAGCTCCAGGTGAACGGATTTTTCAAAGTAAATAGACGAATCGACAGCTCTTTCTCCGCGCTACAAGATGCCGACCACACCGAGCCGATGCGATACCCACGCCCCGACTAAAACCCTCATAGGGTTTTGAAGTGACATCGGAAATTTCGAAAATAAGCGATATCGAGACGGCTGGAACTCCCTCAAAACGTATTCAAATGTCAAAAGTGACATGCTCATTGGGAAGTCCATCCCATTCTCTACAATTTCAAAAAAAACGTCCGATTCGGTAGATTTTCTAAAAAGTTACGGATCTCCAAAAAATGAAGAAGAAGTTCTTAGGTGGCTCTAATATTTTGACCGCCACTGTGCATACATAGCATGGAATAGTAGGATAGCATGGAATAATGGGGCAACATGGAACGAGTTAGGAGTGATCGCGCCTAGAAAACTCCACATATATTTTCCGAGCCTATCGGGGGGTGTCCTCATGGGCAGCTATCGCCGAGGAGAAGACGAATCGATGCGATCTTCAACCATGAGCGATAGGTTACCGGAGTGAGGATGCTCGTGAGGAAATAATCTCGGGAAACGATTTCGGCTATTTTCAGAGTCTTCACCTTCTAGCTTGCCCTTCGCTGTCCAATTTGCCGATCCCGATCCTAAGACGCCGGCGAGAGAGCCAGAGGAATACCATGCCGAATTTTGAAAACTCCGGGAGAAGAGCTCTCCGCGAGTTATTTATCGCCCAGCCGTGACTATGACCAATAGAGAAAGCATGTTCCGTTGCATGAGAAACCCTCTGTATGAAAAGTTCGCGAGAATCGAGGCTGCAGACTTGTGGTTCGTCAGGGAGCTCCCTTCGACGGGGGCTCCACTAGGAATATTCTCGTTCTGATTGGAGCTCACCGTACTCTGTGCCAGGACCATGGAAATCGGTAAACTTTAATGGACTTGTACTCACCCCCACGTCCGGGTTTCCCCCTGGTGCGAACAGATGGGTTTTGCTGAGGAAAGGTTCGGCGAGGAAAGGGATAACGAAAGTCGCGAAACCGTATCCGACATGGAAGATCTGCATAGCGAGAGTCGGCTTCTCCCAAAGATTGGCCAGACGTACGTTGGCACCTGCAAATTTTCGAAGGAATGTGGTAACAACCCCGCCCAACGGAACGCTGAGAGACCTATTGGAAGCTCAAGGCTTCGGTATTCCCTTTTGTACTCACAAGATTCGAATATCACCCACATTGCTCCGTTCACGACGGCCGCGGCATGGGCGAGCCAAAGGTAGGGCACCGCCGGATACAGCAGCATGGAGATTCCCTCCAACACGATCGAGCCGATTAGAACGATTTCAGAGTTGCGCTCGTTGACCGCAAAACTCTCTGGAAATATTTGGACATTCATTCAGTTCCGCGGAAGCGACCGGGCTGGGGTCTGACACAGAGCTCCACGGCATCCTTTGAGTTCTTCTGAGGAAGGGGAGTTCAAGTGTCAATTCCAATCTGTCGGGAGTCCAAATCTACAACCTAGTACCGAGCCGATCAGGAATCCCACCGAGCGGGACGTATAGAGGTGAGAAACTTGGTCGAGATGTACCCCGTAGATTTCTGCGAGGTCAAGCAATGTGGGGCCTATGATTCCATTCACCAAGCCCTTGAAAAGAGAAGGCGAAGTCGGATGAGCTGAGGGATGCTTCCGACATTCGAAGATGAGAATGATCGGCGCAACCTGGAGTCGCTGTATTCCAAACTCTCGCTTCTAATCACGGAGGCATGACCGTGTCCGGAGCGAGCTTCATTGGAACGTGATGGAGTCCCTTGAATTTTCTCCTCACCATGCATATATTGCCGCAGCTGAGAAGGCCGACTTGAATCTGTTTTGTTCTCCTTGTCGACGGCATCGTGCCCTCTGCGGATGAACACAATATTATATTAATCCGAAGGTTCCTCTGAGCGGTTCGGCAGCTTTGTCACTTGAGCCTTGACGGAAAGTTTCTGCCTGCAGCCCTGAGGGCGCCCTCCTGATTCCGTCGATGCATTCCATCGATCTCCGCTGTGCCTTCTCTAGGAGCGTTCCTCGTTTGACTGCCGCGATATCGGTCTAATTCATTCCCCTCATCCGAGGATCAACAGGAGAAGGCAGCCATGAAGCTTCGAAATCTCCGATCGAGGAGTGATGTTTTAAATTATGGGCTTCGCGTTCTCCTTTCTCCAAGAAGTCGAGAAACCCCTCAACTGGTATCATCCTCCTCATTTTGGATATCTGTCTCCGCGTCGCGTTCTCTGCTCATATCTGATATCACGTTCCCAGAATCCGTACTCCTCCTATTAGGGCCCGGCGTATGGGAACATGGATTTACGAGGTCTCCGAGAGATTTTATCTTAGGACGGTATCCTATGAAATCGTAATAGACTTCTGTTATATCGCCGAAAACACCCGACTGGCGGGAGATTCGATTCGCGATTTCGGGGCGGGGGGAAGGGGACATCCAGAAAGGAAGTATCGAGTATCAAGTTCATCGTCTGATGCCCACCACCCAGTCCGCGATCTCTCCTAAGATTGATGTCGAACAGCTGGGCTAAAGTTTCGCGTCGATCGTCCGAATGTTTCGAGGGCACGCAAATGCTAAGAAGATGTGAGCGTCTAGGAATGCTGCATGTTTCACCATCGGATTACGCTAACAGCCGAGGCTCCTCGGCTTTCCCAAAGATTCGTTCTCTTCAGAGTTGACGAAAGAGCTAGAGTACCGCCCTATTTTCCGGTCATTTCTCCGGTCTTAAATAAATTCCTCCTTCTTCTTCTGACATAGTTCCTCTTCTTAAATGGTTGAGAGAATGCTAACTCTCCCAAGATGAAGGGCGTTGATGACTGCGGATACAGAGTTTCCGGTGTCTCATCGGTACTCTCACCCAGAAACAGAGACCATGTCCTCAGCAGGGGCGTACGCAGGGGGGGGC